AGCCATGCATGTCGGTGTATAGACACACAGGTAGACTGGTAGGTAGCCATGCATGTCGGTGTATAGACACACAGGTAGACTGGTAGGTAGCCATGCATGTCGGTGTATAGACACACAGGTAGACTGGTAGGTAGCCATGCATGTCGGTATATAGACATACAGGTAGACTGGTAGGTAGCCATGCATGTCGGTGTATAGACACACAGGTAGACTGGTAGGTAGCCATGCATGTCGGTGTATAGACACACAGGTAGACTGGTAGGTAGCCATGCATGTCGGTGTATAGACACACAGGTAGACTGGTAGGTAGCCATGCATGTCGGTGTATAGACACACAGGTAGACTGGTAGGTAGCCATGCATGTCGGTGTATAGACACACAGGTAGACTGGTAGGTAGCCATGCATGTCGGTGTATAGACACACAGGTAGACTGGTAGGTAGCCATGCATGTCGGTGTATAGACACACAGGTAGACTGGTAGGTAGCCATGCATGTCGGTGTATAGACACACAGGTAGACTGGTAGGTAGCCATGCATGTCGGTGTATAGACACACAGGTAGACTGGTAGGTAGCCATGCATGTCGGTGTATAGACACACAGGTAGACTGGTAGGCAGCCATGCATGTCGGTGTATAGACACACAGGTAGACTGGTAGGCAGCCATGCATGTCGGTATATAGACACACAGGTAGACTGGTAGGTAGCCATGCATGTCGGTATATAGACACACAGGTAGACTGGTAGGTAGCCATGCATGTTGGTATATAGACACACAGGTAGACTGGTAGGTAGCCATGCATGTCGATGTATAGACACACAGGTAGACTGGTAGGTAGCCATGCATGTCGGTGTATAGACACACAGGTAGACTGGTAGGTAGCCATGCATGTCGGTGTATAGACACACAGGTAGACTGGTAGGTAGCCATGCATGTCGGTATATAGACACACAGGTAGACTGGTAGGTAGCCATGCATGTCGGTATATAGACACACAGGTAGACTGGTAGGTAGCCATGCATGTCGGTGTATAGACACACAGGTAGACTGGTAGGTAGCCATGCATGTCGGTATATAGACACACAGGTAGACTGGTAGGTAGCCATGCATGTCGGTGTATAGACACACAGGTAGACTGGTAGGTAGCCATGCATGTCGGTGTATAGACACACAGGTAGACTGGTAGGTAGCCATGCATGTCGGTGTATAGACACACAGGTAGACTGGTAGGTAGCCATGCAAGTCGGTGTATAGACACACACGTAGACTGGTAGGTAGCCATGCATGTCGGTGTATAGACACACAGGTAGACTGGTAGGTAGCCATGCATGTCGGTATATAGACACACAGGTAGACTGGTAGGCAGCCATGCATGTCGGTGTATAGACACACAGGTAGACTGGTAGGTAGCCATGCATGTCGGTATATAGACACACAGGTAGACTGGTAGATAGCCATGCATGTCGGTGTATAGACACACAGGTAGACTGGTAGGCAGCCATGCATGTCGGTGTATAGACACACAGGTAGACTGGTAGGTAGCCATGCATGTCGGTGTATAGACACACAGGTAGACTGGTAGGTAGCCATGCATGTCGGTATATAGACACACAGGTAGACTGGTAGGTAGCCATGCATGTCGGTATATAGACACACAGGTAGACTGGTAGGTAGCCATGCATGTCGGTTTATAGACACACAGGTAGACTGGTAGGTAGCCATGCATGTCGGTGTATAGACACACAGGTAGACTGGTAGGCAGCCATGCATGTCGGTGTATAGACACACAGGTAGACTGGTAGGTAGCCATGCATGTCGGTATATAGACACACAGGTAGACTGGTAGGTAGCCATGCATGTCGGTATATAGACACACAGGTAGACTGGTAGGTAGCCATGCATGTCGGTGTATAGACACACAGGTAGACTGGTAGGTAGCCATGCATGTCGGTGTATAGACACACAGGTAGACTGGTAGGTAGCCATGCATGTCGGTATATAGACACACAGGTAGACTGGTAGGCAGCCATGCATGTCGGTGTATAGACACACAGGTAGACTGGTAGGTAGCCATGCATGTCGGTGTATAGACACACAGGTAGACTGGTAGGTAGCCATGCATGTCGGTATATAGACACACAGGTAGACTGGTAGGTAGCCATGCATGTCGGTGTATAGACACACAGGTAGACTGGTAGGTAGCCATGCATGTCGGTGTATAGACACACAGGTAGACTGGTAGGTAGCCATGCATGTCGGTGTATAGACACACAGGTAGACTGGTAGGTAGCCATGCATGTCGGTATATAGACACACAGGTAGACTGGTAGGTAGCCATGCATGTCGGTATATAGACACACAGGTAGACTGGTAGGTAGCCATGCATGTCGGTGTATAGACACACAGGTAGACTGGTAGGTAGCCATGCATGTCGGTGTATAGACACACAGGTAGACTGGTAGGTAGCCATGCATGTCGGTGTATAGACACACAGGTAGACTGGTAGGTAGCCATGCATGTCGGTATATAGACACACAGGTAGACTGGTAGGTAGCCATGCATGTCGGTATATAGACACACAGGTAGACTGGTAGGTAGCCATGCATGTCGGTGTATAGACACACAGGTAGACTGGTAGGTAGCCATGCATGTCGGTATATAGACACACAGGTAGACTGGTAGGTAGCCATGCATGTCGGTATATAGACACACAGGTAGACTGGTAGGTAGCCATGCATCTCGGTGTATAGACACACAGGTAGACTGGTAGGTAGCCATGCATGTCGGTGTATAGACACACAGGTAGACTGGTAGGTAGCCATGCATGTCGGTGTATAGACACACAGGTAGACTGGTAGGTAGCCATGCATGTCGGTGTATAGACACACAGGTAGACTGGTAGGTAGCCATGCATGTCGGTATTTAGACACACAGGTAGACTGGTAGGTAGCCATGCATGTCGGTGTATAGACACACAGGTAGACTGGTAGGTAGCCATGCATGTCGGTGTATAGACACACAGGTAGACTGGTAGGTAGCCATGCATGTCGGTATATAGACACACAGGTAGACTGGTAGGTAGCCATGCATGTCGGTATATAGACACACAGGTAGACTGGTAGGTAGCCATGCATGTCGGTGTATAGACACACAGGTAGACTGGTAGGTAGCCATGCATGTCGGTGTATAGACACACAGGTAGACTGGTAGGTAGCCATGCATGTCGGTGTATAGACACACAGGTAGACTGGTAGGTAGCCATGCATGTCGGTGTATAGACACACAGGTAGACTGGTAGGTAGCCATGCATGTCGGTGTATAGACACACAGGTAGACTGGTAGGTAGCCATGCATGTCGGTGTATAGACACACAGGTAGACTGACACACGCAGGCCGCTAGACAAAACAAAGATCACCCGTATAGCCCTCACATACGATTGGGGCAAGTGTTATTATTAACCAGTATCACAGATGAAGGCCGGCACGGCACACGAGGGGATGGGTGGCCAGCACTACGCCCGGCAGCTGCACATCACACACATAGCACACACACACAGCTCACACACATCACACACACACAGCTCACACACAGCACACACATAGCACACACACAGCACACACACAGCACACACACACACAGCACACACACAGCTCTCACACACACATCACACACAGCACGCACACATCACACACACACAGCACACACACACAGCTCACACACAGCACACACATAGCACACACACAGCACACACACACACAGCACACACACACACAGCACACACACAGCTCTCACACACACATCACACAGCACACACACACAGCACACACACACATCACACACACAGCACACACAGCTCACACACAGCACACACACATCACACACACACACAGCACACACACACAGCTCACACACAGCACACACACACACAGCACACACACAGCTCACACAGACAGCACACACACACAGCTCACACACACAGCACACACACACAGCACACACACAGCTCACACACAGCACACACACACAGCTCACACACAGCTCACACAGCTCACACACATCACACACATCACACACACAGAGCACACACACAGCACACACAGAGCACACACACACATCACACACATACAGCAAACACACACACACCTCACACACACAGCTCACACACACAGCACACACACACAGCTCACACACACACCTCACACACACAGCACACACACACAGCATACACACACAGCACACACACAGCACACACACACAGCACACACACACACAGCACACACACCACACACACACAGCTCACACACACACCTCACACACAGATCGCACACACACCTCACACACACACAGCACACACACCACACACACAGCACACACACAGCACACACACAGCACACACACAGCACACACACACGCAGCACACACACAGCACACACACACAGCACACACAAAGATCACACACACAGCACACACACGCCTCTCACACACACAGCACACACACACCTCTCACACACACAGCACACACAGTTCACACACAGCACACACACACACACAGCACACACACATCTCTCACACACACACACATCTCTCACACACAAGCAGACACACAGCTCACACACACACACACAGCTCACACACAGCACACACACACAGCTCACACACACAGCCCCTAACACAGCTCACACACACAGTTCACACTCACCGTTCACACTCACAGCTCACACACACAGCTCACACTCACAGCTCACACACACACAGCTCACACACACACAGCCCCTAACACACAGCTCACACACACAGCTCACACTCACAGTTCACACACAACTCACACACACATCACACACACAGTTCACACACACAGCTCACACACACACACAGCACACACACACAACCCACACATACACACCACACACACAGCCCCTATCACACAGCCCCCTAGCACACAGCTCACACACAGAACTCACACACAGCTTCACGCTCACAGCTCACACACAACACAGCTCACACTCACACAGCCCCCAGCACACAGCTTACACACACAGCTCCCTGCACACAGCTTACAAGCTCAACAGCAGGACACGCATGGGCCTGCCCGGGCCGGTGACTCACCTCCACTTCTACCCCCCCCCACCACCACCACTCCCCATCCACCACCAGCAGGCGTGGAGAGCGAGGAGGAGGGAACTGAGATGATAAAGGCGACACGTGCCAGGCGAGGAGCGTGGCTACTACCGTCGGACCCCAGCCACAGATCGCTGCCGCAGCAACCTCCTCCTGCTGCCCCTACCGCTGCGACCACTCCAACACCGCAGCTGCTGCTGCTGCTCCTGCTGCTGCTGCATCTTCCCCTGCTCCTCGCGTCTCCTGCGAAGAGGAGTCCCGACAGAGAGTGGAGGAGAGCCCAGATCATGGACGTCAAAGCAGACGGGCGCGTGGGGAAGGCGACACCAGGGGTGGAGGACGCGGAGCAGCAGCTGGATGAGCAGCAGCTGGATGAGCAGCAGCATCAGGCGACGCGTCTGAAGGTGGCGTCACGGGAGGTCGTGGCGCTGGTGAACGAGGAGCACGGCTGGGTACTCGCAGCACGCGGAGCCGCCCTGGAGGCGAGGAAGTGCTATCCCGACGCTCCTCAGCCTCCCGGTGAGATGGGGGGGGGGGGGTGATGGAGGTTGATAGTGATGGAGGTGGTGATGGAGGTTGATAGTGATGGAGGTGGTGATGGAGGTTGATAGTGATGGAGGTGGTGATGGAGGTTGGTAGTGATGGAGGTGGTGATGGAGGTTGATAGTGATGGTGGTGGTGATGGAGGTGGTGATGGAGGTTGATAGTGATGGAGGTGGTGGAGGTGGTGATGGAGGTTGATAGTGATGGAGGTTGATAGTGATGGAGGTGGTGATGGAGGTGGTGATGGAGGTTGATAGTGATGGAGGTGGTGGAGGTGGTGATGGAGGTTGGTAGTGGTGATGGTGGTGGAATGGAGGTGGTGGTGGTGGAGGTTGTGGGCGGAGATGTACTGGACATCTGTGAAAAAGATCTTTATAGCTCATCGGATTCGTCCAGTAGCTATGATTGAGAAGTCTTGATGTACGTACTGTATGTTATAATTTTTTGTATGTACCAAAAAATAATAATTGGTGGTGGGTGGGGGGGGATTGTTGATAATAATCTGAAACAACACATGCACGAGAGCGACGTTCCGGGCAATGGCCCTTCTATTATACGTCTGTATTGTTTACCATTTTAAGGCCGTGTTATTGACGAGTGTTCGTGTGTCGAGTTGGTATTGCGCGCTGCGTGCAAATCCACAGGCGCGGCGGCGGCGGAGTGTCGCGAGGAGCCGCGGCTTCACCTTCGCCACGATCTATGGCGAACACACAAATCCCCCCTCCCCTCCCCCAGCGCAAGACTTGGCGCTCCTATCGTGTTTCTCAGTCATTTGTTGTTGTTACGTTCCGACCTCGCCACCCCCCCCACCCCGACTGCACGTCTGTGTAAAAGAGCTTCACGGCTCATCGGATTCCTCCACTATGTTCTCATTAGCCCCCTCCCCCCGCGTCTCCCTCCCGCCCCCCCCCCCCCACGTCTCCCACATCCTCCCCCCACGTCTCCCTCCTCCCACGTCTCCCACAGGCTCCGTGGCCACGCTGTACCGCTACAAGAGCTCGAACCCGACCGAGGGTTGCGACTTCGTGTCGCTGGGTTTCGGTCAGAAGATGCTGTGCGTGGGACCGCCTGCAGAGCACCCCACGGTTACGCTCAAGGTGCTTTAAAAGGAGGAAACCCCCGGAGGGGGAACGGGGAAACCCCCGGGGGGAGGGGGAACCCCCAGAGGGGGGGGGGGAAACCCCTGGAGAGGGGGGGGGGGCACACCCCCCGTGGGTATGCTGTCCGAGTAGACTTGTGTGACTGTAAATGTATTTTGTTTAACATTTTAATAATAATAATAATATCGTGTTCCGGCTCGTTCGCGCGTTTTGGCGAGCCTAACCGTGACCTGCGAACCCGGCCGTCGCTCTGGGGTGGGGGTCCGGCTCTCCTGGGCAAACAAACACAACAACAGTCAGCTAAACAACTTGAGCTGGCCTTAGCCATGCTCTATGACATTGCCTTGAGCCGAGCCAGAGCCGAGCCGGAGCCGAGCCGAGCCACAGCTGAACCGCTGGGTGCACGTTTTGGGGGGGGGGGGGGGAAGGGCAGGATCCGAGCGAGTGCCCCGAGCTGCCACCTCACACACTGTGACCCTCCCTGCCCTCCACACCCCCAGGAGTGCGTCAGCCCCGAGACGGTGAGCCCGCTGGACAAGGAGTCGTGGCGCTGCGTGTTCCTGCGGCGCGGCAGGAGGCACGGCACGGAGCTGGAGAGCGCCGCGTTCCGCGGGAGTTTCCTCAGCGTCCCCAACCACGGCGCCGTGGGCCTGCAGCGCCGCGTCGCCGGCTCGGTAGCGGCCGAAACCAACTCGAACCCCTGCCTCTTCAACTTCGTCCCGGCCGTGCGACGGTGACGACCACGGATCGGCCGCGGACGGCGCCACCACTTAGCGTGTTCCGCCAAGGCGGCAACGGCTCCCCCCACCCCCCCACCCCGTTCCTCTGTCGCCAGCCATTTGTTTTTCTCGCCAAGGTTTCGCCGGCGTCGCGGAGAAAAGCCGAGGGTCACGTCCGGGGGGCAAAATCCTCGCCACGAGCACCACGACCGACTTCGTTACCGAGCAACGGCCCACGGAAAGCGGATATCCTAGAGCTACTTCCGAGCGACGCTCTCCGGCCCCCCGACCCCGCTCAGGTTGAGCGGGGGGGGGGGGGGGGCAGGGCCCGCACCTCTCCTACCTCGGCCTGCCGCGGGAGAGTAATTGGGCGTCGGTGCCGACGGCAGGCTTTTTTTTTTTTTAAATCGCGAGCCCGCCCCGACGCTCTTGGTCACGATTGCTCTTCGTAAAAAATAAAAAAGAGGCTCGGACACGAAACAAAACTTTCGTGGTAAAAGTTGCGTCGCTCTTAGGGACTTCGCTGCGGTGGCAAGATCTTCCTCGCCTGGTATGCAGGAGGTCGTGGGTTCGATCCCGATCCCGACGCTGCCTGCTGTATATTTGGAGTTTGTGTGCGTCTCTCTCTCTGTCCGTGATCGTGTGGAGTTCTCTCCGGGTCCTCCGGTTTTCCCCTCCACGCGTTTGACTATTTGGGAGCTATCAATGTTCACCTGACATAAGCCACTTCGTTGAGCTGAGCTGCCATTTGTGGCCATGTTGCTTCTGAAAATAAAGAGCTACATAAGCTCGGTGGACCTTACCTGGTAAAATATAAAAAAATATAGTAAAACAAAATAGGTTACCCATGCGCGTACACATCGAGCCACATGTATGCCTACCTACCTATACACCTACCCATGTACTTGCCTTACCCATGTACCTCTACAATTGTAAAGTAAAACATTGTTTTGGGTAACACCTGACACACTGACCAAAGCACTGCCCAACACTTGTGGAAGCCACAAAAATAAAAACCACGTAGTGAAAAATAATTATTTGAAAATATATAACTTTCCTTGCCCTCGTCCAATAGCCGTGGGGCTTCCGTACCGCTAACAGGCCCGAAGGTAAAAAAAACAAAGAATGGCGTTTTGATTTGCACCCGGCGTCGCCAACGCATATTTGCCGACCGGAACAAAGGCTGTTTTTTTTTGTTTGCGTGCGTGGAAGCGACACCGCAAAGCGGCGTGAGCGGGAATCGCCGGCACACACGCTTCAGGAAGCCAGCCGCAGCAACAAGAGTGGTTTATGTATAACAGGGCGCGCGATGTAATCCACGAGCGAGCACGGTTGTTTTCATTTTCCTTCTCTCCCCGTGTCCGAAGCGCGGCCGCGCGTTGCCCGACCACCACAGTTGCCCCTTTTGGAATTTCCACGATGAAAATAAAAGATTTGTGAAGCGCATCCTCACTCTCGCGACCTCTTTCGTGTCGTTTTGTATCGGCGATTTCGGTGTCCCCCCGCGTGTCGTCGCCTTGGGTCACTCGTCCGACACACGGTTTTGTTGACAGAGATGCAAGGGGCCGTCTGGAACGCTCTTCCTTCCGATATTAGGAAGCCACTGGAGCTATTCACGTTTAAATCTAGATTTAAAACTCATTTACTTAGAACTGAGCTTTGTATTTCGTTTCTTGTTCTTCAACCGCACCTCTGATTAGCACAATTGGCTACGTACAGTGGTGCGGAATAAGTTCCACATAATTGCATACAATTTCACAACCACCACCACTTAATTTCATCACAACTAATGCCATCACTTTGAAATCCACCACAAAGCAATGCCACCCAACACTGCTGGCAATATGGCAACCACCACCACCCATCATCATCACTGACATTTTAATCACCACCACCAAAATCTCCACACCAAAACCGCCACCCGTCACCACCCTCAACCTGGTTGCGTACGTAATCCTTTATTTATAGAAAAGGAGCGTTATCCATCTGAGCCGTCCTGTGTTGGTGGGAGTGAAAACAATTGGCCACAGCTGCTGCCCGGTCGAAAAACGAAAACCCATTCATGGAAACAAACGGCGTTATTGCTACGGGGAACACAGCTCTCGTTTGGAATGATTGCATTTCACAAGGTACAGTACCGTCACTTTACCCGCAGGAAAGTGTCATCTTTTAAAAACTCACTCGCACGATCACCACCCCCCCGCCCCGACCCCGGCACCTCCGCCACCATCTTTTCCGCGTGAACAAAAAAACGCAAATTCCTCATCGTTCCGATCATATCAACCGTCACCAGCCCTCCTGCACAGGAGCGAGAGGAACAAACGCAATCATCCGTACAGATTGCAAAACATCTCTTAAGGAGGAAGGAATAAGTGAGAGCCTCGGTGATACGAATAATTTTGAGATCAAGGGAGAGAGGTGAGCTGGATTGGACACGTGGTTTTTTTTCCCCGTGCAATTCCAAGGGCTGTGGCGATCTGAGGCACTCACTGGGACACCGGTAGACACACAGACTGGTGTAGAGACCCACAGACTTGCACGCTCAAACCGATACATAGACAGTGACGCATACACTCGCAGAGACCTACACTCACACTCAGACCGATGGACACGGTGTGACCCATAGATGCTGTGGGTGGAGTATCGGCATAGCGGTTAGCGCACTACAAAACGAACCCAGATACCCAAGTTCGATTCCCCCGTCACCGATAAATATCAGAGGTGTGGTCTTGGGCCTCCCTCTCTTCACCAACCCGCACTGACCAGCGTGGTGACGTATGGTCAAATAAAACTCATGACACACAAAGCATGGGTAGGAGGACTTCACTCAGTAGTGGATCGACAAAGGTCTGCAAATCATTATTTTTTTCCTACGGAGGAGGGAGGATGAAGAGGGGAAGGAGGGAGGAGGAAGAGCGGCAGACCGTGGAGAAGAAGAGGCACAGAGTAGAAAACTCCTGGAGGGATGGAGGAAATCTGAGCAGCCTAACATCCGGGGCTTCCGAGTTCCAAGAAGAGTCAGGAAACAAAAGTGATGTTGATTACTGGGGGTTCCCCCCCATCCCACCCATCATCTCTCCCAGACACCCCCCCCCCCGCGCCCCGACCTCCGGGCCCCCCTCTTCAACTCACCATAGGCACAACGATGACGAAGAAGACCCAGGTTAGATATCCGAAACGAAAACCAGAACCGAACGTTGTAAACCGTTTGTCGCCGCTGCTGCTTTCAGCGACGTTTCTCCGCAGCGTCGCGCCCGTTGCACGCCGTCCCGTTCGCCACGGCGACGCGTCCGACGTTTCGTGCCGCACACGTGCTGCGGGGGGGTGGGGGGGGTGGGGTGGGGAGGAGCTTCTCGATGAGGCAGGGGAGGTGCGGGGAAGCCCTCGGGGTCGACGCGCCAAACAGCGGGACGGAAGATTCGTGGCACGACTGCGAAAACCAACCCGAGCTTGACTCCTCTCCTGCTGACGAGACGCCGCACGTCGAAGCCGGTCGAGAGCGTCAGTTGGTGCTGAACCAGCGCCGCTCAAGACGCACTCCCAGGGGGAAGGCCGCCAGGCCGATGGGATGTGTAAAAAATATATATGTATGTGGAGGGGCAGATATGGGAAGGATATGGACGATTGTGGTCTTTTCACAGTCTGCTGAAACAATCTCCATTCGCCCCGAACGGGATGAAACAAGCTGGTCGGTGTCTGCCCTCCAAAGGCGACGCCCGGGATCGCAGCTGGAGTCGGCCTCCCGAACTTTTTAAGAGTTAATTTCGTTTTAAACGAGAAGGTAACTCAAGTGGGTGCGGACCCCCACACCCCACAAGGGGGCAATCTCATTGGCGACAGTGATTCATCTGTTCAGGGCAGGGTGGCGGGTGCAGTGGTAACGTTCGCGCCTCGCAGGAAATAGCTGGGGTTCAACTCCCGGCCTGCGGCTCTGTTTTTGTGTGAAGTGTGTATGTCGCCTCATTGTTGTAGAGAGAGTGTGTGTGTGTATGTCGCCTCACTGTTGTAGAGTGTGTGTGTGTATGTCGCCTCACTGTTGTAGAGAGAGTGTGTGTTCAGTGTGTATGTCGCCTCACTGTTGTAGAGAGAGTGTGTGTGCAGTGTGTATGTCGCCTCACTGTTGTAGAGAGTGTGTGTGTGCAGTGTGTATGTCGCCTCACTGTTGTAGAGAGTGTGTGTGTGCAGTGTGTATGTCGCATCACTGTTGTAGAGAGTGTGTGTGTGCAGTGCGTATGTCGCCTCACTGTTGTAGAGAGAGTGTGTGTGTGCAGTGTGTATGTCGCCTCACTGTTGTAGAGAGTGTGTGTGTGCAGTGTGTATGTCGCCTCACTGTTGTAGAGAGTGTGTGTGTGCAGTGCGTATGTCGCCTCACTGTTGTAGAGAGAGTGTGTGTGTGCAGTGTGTATGTCGCCTCACTGTTGTAGAGAGTGTGTGTGTGTATGTCACCTCACTGTTTAAGAGAGTGTGTGTGTGTGCAATGTGTATGTCGCCTCACTGTTGTAGAGTGTGTGTGCGTGCAGTGTGTATGTCGCCTCACTGTTGTAGAGTGTGTGTGTGTGCAGTGTGTATGTCGCCTCACTGTTGTAGAGAGAGTGTGTGTGCAGTGTGTATGTCGCCTCATTGTTGTAGAGAGAGTGTGTGTGTGCAGTGTGTATGTCGCCTCACTGTTGTAGAGAGTGTGTGTGTGCAGTGTGTATGTCACCTCACTGTTGTAGAGAGTGTGTGTGTGTGCAGTGTGTATGTCGCCTCACTGTTGTAGAGTGTGTGTGTGTTCAGTGTGTACCCCCCCTGTTGTAGAGAGTGTGTGTTCAGTGTGTATGTACTCCCCCTGTTCTAGAGAGTGTGTGTTCAGTTTGTATGTACTCCTGTTCTAGAGTGTGTGTGTGTTCAGTGTGTATGTACTCCCCCTGTTGTAGAGTGTGTGTGTGTGTGCAGTGTGTATGTACTCCCCCTGTTGTAGAGTGTGTGTGTGTGTGCAGTGTGTATGTACTCCCCCTGTTGTAGAGTGAGTGTGTGTGTGCAGTGTGTATGTACTCCTGCTCTGCAGTGTGTGTGCAGTTTGTTCAAATTTTGCCCGATTCGAAAAAAAAATCGCACCACAAAATCACTCGCTTGGGATCACCACACGAGGCAAACGTCGCCAACCAACCGCGAGACGACCGGGCAAGCGGCCTGTGTCGGAGTCGCGCAGAAGCGCGTTGCTCTGTCGGCCATGGCCTTGCAACGCGACCAGAGCGATAGCGTGAACAAACACCACGTGTACAGTGCCCAATTGGTCACTGTTAACACTACCCCGACGAGGAAGTGAGGAGAGTTAGGAAGCTTGCGGAAACTCAGCGGAATACAGTTTGCAAAAAAAAAAACCAAATCTTCAAGTACCATATTTCACCGCACCTGGGGGCCACGTCTTGCGGCCACGGTGGCTTCAGCGGCTCGCGAGCGGAAGTCTCCAAGTTTAAATCCTGGTTGGCGGGGTGGGGGGGGGGGGGTTGCGTGGCTCGGCCCATCACCTCTCCGAAACGCGGTCGAGAAAATGAAGCACCACTCTGCAGGAGAAGTCAATGGCGGTTGTCCTACGGATAGACTCGCGCGCCCCCCCTTCCTCCACCTGCCACGGGAATGTGGAATGTCTACGGCCGCTGGCTCTGCAGGGCTGCAAATAGATGAGCGCCGGCCTCAACGATGCTCATCGGAGCAAGGGGAAGCGGAGAATAAAAATCACCGTCGCTCCGACCAAACCTCACCGCGTGCGCTGCCGCCACGTCCTCACGTAACGGCAAACACCGTCCAGCATCGGCACTCACGGTGGCGGCGGTGGCGAGCAACCAGGTCGTAGGTCGGGCCGCACCGGCCGCCCCCCCCCCCCCCCCGCCGCCGCCGCCCCCCCCCCCCCGTTCCCCCCCACGAGTCAGCCGCTACCTCTCAGTGCCGCCCCCGACATCCACAGTCCCTGCCGCCGCCAGCTTGCTGTAGTTGGCGTTGAGATCGGCGAGCCAACGCCGTAGCTCTCCGGCCGCCGCGGCCCGGCCGCCCGGCCTCTTGGGCCGCACGCATTCGGCCAGCAGGGTCTCCAGGCGGCCCGCGAGAGGCCTCGGGGCCCCCCCGAGCAGAGCCGCCCCGCCCCGGGTGCCCCCGGCCCACAGTGGAGCCAGGAGGTTGCGACACACGGCGTAGTGGTTGTGGTCGTGAGAGAGGCGCGAGCAGAGGTGCTTGCGCGACGGGGAGAGGGCGAGGCAGTCGTAGGAGTCGCGGCAATCCTGGTGCGTCGTCTCGTACGGGGAGTCGAACTGGGCCGGGCGCTCTGTGATGGGAGGGGTTTGGTGAGGGATGGGGGCAGGCAGTGAGGGGGTGGTGGTGCGTGGATAATAACGTACATGGTCAGCGTCACTTCGTCACGGCGTTGCAGTGCCGAGTTCGTCTCCGGTAGGTGTTCGAGATCCATCCTTGAGTCCGAGCCAGTTTTGCAACAGCCGGCTTAACTGGACACGGAGAAGCATTCTCACTGCAGGGCTATTGTAGTTTACAAGGATATTGTCCGTAGATCTGCTCCGTGTTTGTCTGACCCGTTCTTATTACCGTTGGACAATCCGAAAAAATCTGCGACGTGCGTCCAATTGTCTCTTAACAGTTCCCAGATTTCGCACGCCCGGCCACCTTTGTCTCCCCAGTGGCAATGTTTACACACACAAAGATCCCCCATATAGCCTTAACAGACTGTAGGGGCAAGTGCTGTTAGCGAGCACCTATGTACACACACACACACACGCCAGACACACGCACGGGAGTTCCACGTCGTGGTTTTGCTGCAAGCTATCGCCGGCGACGTCACGGCCATACCCTGGCGGATGTGGCGCTTGTCCGACACCAGGACTCGCGAGGCCTCGGTCAGGATGAGCCGACCGTCGCGCGTCCCCACGCCGAAGCTCTCGGCCCGCACGTCCAGCAGGTAGAGGCCGAAGTCCAGGTCATTGTTGCTCAGCTGCTCCGCCAGCTCCAAGGCCTGCGGGAGGTGGTGGCGGACGAGGCAATGGTGGCGGAGGTGGCGGTGATGGTTACGATGGTGGTGGTTATGATGGTGATAATGATTAGGATGATGATAGTGGCGGTGGTTATGACGGTGATTATGAATATGATGGTGGTGGAGTTGATTGATGGTAGTGGTGATGGTTATGATGGTGGTGGAGTTGATTGATGGTGGTGGTGATGGTTATGATGGTGGTGGAGATGACTGATGGTGGTGGTTATGATGATGGTTGTGGAGATGGTTGTGATGGTGGTTTCGGTGGTGCGTGACGCACCTGCCAGGCGAGGTCGACACGTTTCTCCCAGGGCGAGCTCAGGAGGTCGGAGAGCGGAGGCCCCACGTAGCTCTCGGCCACAATCCGCCCACACGCACCCAGGTACTTGGCCAGAGGCCAGCCCTCATCCGGAGGGAAGCTCTAGAGCACGCACACACACGCACGCCATGCCACAGTCTCTGTGCGAGTCTATGGGTCTCTGTGTGTGTCTATGGGTCTCTGTGCGAGTCTATGGGTCTTTGTGCGAGTCTATGGATCTCTATGTGAATCTATGGGGCTATGTGTGAGTCTATGAGCCTCAAAACCATCAATCTCTCAGAGGGAAGCTCTAGCACACACACCATGCCACAGTCTCTGCGTGAGTGTATGGATCTCTGTGTGAATCTACGGGTCGTTGTCTGAGTCTATGGATCTCTGTATGAGTCTGTGGGTCTCTGCATACATCTATGGGTCTCGACGTAAGTCACTGGTGACCTGGCTGAGGCCATCAACTCGCCGCACTTGCGAAGCCGGTGTGATCTCTGTGGTCGTACAACTGAAACCCAGATGGGGGGCCCCAGGATTCTCAGCGGTGCCCTTTCACGAGATTCTTTTTTATGTTTTTTGTATTTTAAGGAACAGGCGATGAGGCACGCGGCTGGGGATCGCGACATCAGCACGCAGCCGCTCGGGTCAAAGGTCGTGAGGTCGCGAAGAATGAAACCCCACCATGCCACCCGGCTATTGTGTTCTGGCTATTGTTGCACGGGATGTCTGGCTGGTTGGTTAGGGGTTCCGGTTAGGGGTCCGGTTAGGGTTCTGGTTCTGGTTAGTGTTTTGGTTAGGGTTCTGCTTAGTGTTCTGGTTAGGGGTCTGGTTAGGGGTCGGGTTAGGGTTATGGTTAGGTGTCTGGTTAGGGTTATGGTTAGGGCTAGCATGGAGCTGGCTAGTGAGCACAGCCTCCCAACCCCCCCTCCCCTCCCGTCATTCACTCCCCAATTGCAATTCATCATCTTGCCAATGGATGCCAAAGTGGCCGAGCGTTCGAATGCTCGGCGGTTGTTGGGAGTGGCTCGTGGGTCGAATCTGGCAGGCCGTCCTGGTTAGTGCGTGGCGAGATGATAACTACCTCGCCTGGTGTACGGGAGGTTGCGGGTTCGATCCCTACCCTGATGCCTGCTGTATATTTGGAGTTTGCATGTTCTCCCCGTGGTCGAGTGGATTTTTCTCTGGGTCCTCCGGTTTTTCCCTCCACATTTAGAAACGTGCGTTTAGAGTATTTGGCTTACTGCTATACATTTCCACGTGACAAGCCACTTTGGTGAGCTATCATTTGTGGCCAGGTCGCTTCTGAAAAAGAAGCTACATAGCTCAGTGGGCCTTATCTGGTAAAATTAAAAAGAATCATAAAAAAGTAAAAAGTTAAGATACTACGACAACGCACCCCGCCTGCTTCGCATCGGAGATATAAAGCCAAGCGTGCAAGGGGGGGGGGGGGGGGGGGGGACAACGCTCGATCCCCGTGCTGATGGAAATTATAACCCGCTTGCTGGGCCGGCAAGACCTCGACGCCCGCGGGTAGAGGGAGGGGGAGAGATTGACGGGCGCGTGCACAATCCACCAAACCCTCGCAGCTCTTCACCGTGCCACCGCGCTAAGGGCCGAGCGCGGCGCTGCCACCAGTGTCAATGTCACACTGCAGAAGCGCGCGGGGTAAACATAGGAACAATTGTCATCGAAGCACGCGTGTGTGCACGCGTGGTGCCCCTAGACAGGTTTGCTCCGACGGCTCGCGCTGCGAGTGCGTTCCACCGAGACACAGGTCGCGACGGCGGTGCTGATGATGATGATGATGCTGCTGCTGCTGCTGCTGTTGCCCAGGGCTGCCCCAAAGCTCACAAGTCAATTACCGCGAGTGCTTACTTAGCGACGCAAATGGCCGCACGGGGCATAGATGGCGAGCGCTCAGCCTGCCTGCCTGCCGACCCCGAAGCGTAACCCACAACCCTAATCACATTATCCACCCCGCTCCACCATCCCCCAAAGCCCAACTAATGAGGCACTACCACGAGCCCTGCCACTGACCCTACCTGTAACTTACTGGCCAACAGCATTAGCCCTACCACGAACCCTAACCTAAGCTAACTAGCCACGAGTGCTAACACAAGCACTGACCCAAATTCACGAACGCAGAGTACACGAGGACAATAACAATACACGCGCGCGCTCGCACACACAAAGCACGCACGCACACAATGGATGGGCATATGCGGCAGTGAGGAATGCAGAGCGAGTTATTTCTGTCGCGCGTGCGTTGCGCGTGTGTCGCGTGTGTGTGTGTGTGCATATGCACCAACATAAGCACCGGGGAAACAAAGACAGGTTGAGATTGAGGACTCCTGCAAATCTCTCCTCTACTGCCTCCCCAACTCCGTCATCTCCCCCACATCCCTATCCTGCCTCTCCCTCTCACTCTACTACCATCACCGCACTCTCCTGTCTCAGCTAACTCTAATACTCCCCCTCCACACACTCTCCTACCACTCCCCTCTCATCTCACTCTACTCTGGTCTGCTCCACAAGTCTATAGATTTCGTCTCCCCCTCCGTCTCCCCCTCCGCCTCCCCCTCCGCCTCCCCCTCCGTCTCCCCCTCCGCCTCCCCCTCCGCCTCCCCCTCCGCCTCCCCCTCCGCCTCCCCCTCCGCCTCCCCCTCCGCCTCCCCCTCCGCCTCCCCCTCCGTCTCCCCCTCCGTCTCCCCCTCCGTCTCCCCCTCCGTCTCCCCCTCCGCCTCCCCCACCTGCATGACGAGTGGCTCGGGGTTGAACGCGATGGTGAGGAGGAGGGTGATTTTCTCCGAGTCCTTGAGGTTCTTGAGCAGGAAGCTGCCCGAGTCGCGCGTTTCCGCGTAGCGTCGCACCACTCGGTCCAGCAGCCGCTGCGACGGGCAGTGCACCAGGTCGGACCAGCCCTCCACCACGGCCGGCGTCAACAGCCGCGCCGGTGCCACGCCGGCCTTGGGGTCGCCTACACCGCCGCACCGCGTACGCACGGTGTGAGTCTACGGGTTTCCGTGCGAATCTACGGGCATTCTCGCGAGTCTGCGCGTAACGCGGCCTCCACGATAACCCTCGCGAAGGTCGACTCGCCGCGGAAGTTAAAACGGCGCGGACGGCGAGGCTTGCGGTCGCCCTTAGGTCACCGCCCCCCCCCCCCCGGCACCTCCCGTACCGACGCCGGGTTGCCGTTAAGGGCCCCGCGGAGACGCCGCGGGCCGCTCACCGTTGAGACGGTTGAACTCGGAGCGCAGGACGGCCTTGGCCACGTCGCACGCGGCCCGCCCGGTGGCGCGCAGGCAGAGGGCGCGGTCCAGCTCAGCCAGCTGCGCCGGCGAGCCCAGGCGCTTGAGGGTGACGTCGCGCGGGCCCTCCCGCGGCTCCGTGTGCCGCCCGGCAAACACCTGCGGGCGCGCCCAGCGGAGGGTGGCAAACCGGGCAAACTAAACGTCGTCGGCATCGTCCATCGATGCTTTCACCGTCGTAAAAACCGTCATCAGCATCGTCGTCATGGCTGCTGCCGAGGTGTTAGCACGCAGCACTTAAGGGCGGTAAAGCTTCCACCATTACCGTCATCACCGTCGCCAGTTTTACACGTTTTTTTTATTACATATATATCTTCAACAAAGCAACGGGCGGCAATCGCACCGCTGCTCGATCATCGCGTCGCCGTCACCATCACCACTGACGCCAGAGACAAAGATCCCCCGTACAGCCTTAACAGACTGTTGGCGCAAGTGCTTTAGCGAGTAGCAGCACCTATGAAGGCCAGCATGGCACACGAGGCGGGGTTGGAGGTCAGCACCACACCTGGCTGCCTTCATCTCCTGAGGAGCGATGTTTACACACCGCACCAGGTACTGATTTGAGGCGACCAAACACAACCACAATCGCAAAGACAAATATCCCCCGTGTAGCCTTAACAAACTGTTAAGGCAAGAGCTGTTCACGAGCACCTAAAAAGGCCAACACCACCCCCTGCAACCTTTGTCTCCCTTGTAGCGATGTTTACACACCGCACCAGGTACTCATCCGAGGCCGTGTCGACCCACCACAATCACAACCACCACCGCCGCCACCGCCGTCACCGCCGCCGCCGCACCTGCTGTCGGTTGAACCTGTCGAGCAGACGGAATTGCGCGGCTCCCCGGAAGGTGAGCTGCCCCGCCGAGAAACGGCGGCACCAGCTGGTGCCGAAGCACGCCGGGCAGCGGTGCAGGCCCAGGAAGCGACGCTCCGTGAGGACGTTGTGCCGCAGCGAGCTGAGGAAGTCGTGCGAGCGAGCCAGTGCCAGGCACAGCAGCGCCAGGCACAACAGCAGCTTGAGCCAGCGCAGCAGCCGGCCCAGCTTGCACAGCGGGAACGCTCGCACCACCATCGTCGCCGCCGCGCGCTACCGCCGCTGCGGTCGTGCGCACGTATGTACGTTGAACTTCTTTAGCGCCGTGCGTAGTCAGAGGTGCCGGGGGAAGGAGAACAAACTAAAACAGAAAAAGCATTTCTCCAGAAATGAGTCTTCAATCTAGATGATGTGAAACGTGCATAGCTCAAGGTGGATTCCTAATATTGGAAGGGTGTTCCAGACGGCCCCAGAAGCACATCTGAAAGCGGCCGATGCGGTGACCGTCTTTGTTTGGTGGTCAGCCAAAAGCCGCTGCCCCTTGACAAGATCAACTGTTGTTGTTGTTGTGGCGGTAGATTACTGATGTTGTGGGTTGTTGTTGTCGTTGTTGTAGCTGCTGTGGTGGTTGAGGCCGTTTTGGACTATTAATGTTGTTTTTGTTGGTTTTGCTGCTGTGGATTCTTGTTGCTGTTCTTGTTGATGGTTGTAGCTTTTGTTGCGGTTGTGGCTTTTGTTGCTGTTGCTGCTGTAAATTGTTGATGATGACGATGTTGCTATTACTGCTGCTCTAGTGGTTCTTGTTGTTGTTATGGAGTGGGTTGTACCATGGATGGGTGGGGGGTGGAATGCCGATGAGAGAGACCACGACGACGACGACGACGATGAAAAGACGCGACGATAAGGAGAGACAGGGAGGTTCAAGAGCAACAAAAGGAGACACTAAGAGCAATGCGGAAACGAGGAGAGGTGAAACTTGGGCGATGTGCAGAGATGACGTGCGTGCGATCGGACCGGGGTTTTACAAACCGGATCGGCAGCACGAGGCTCAGTAAAAAGAAGGTGGCGCAAAAGAGGAGGAGATGGAGGATTTGAAACCGTGCACACCGATGAAAGGAAGGTCCGGGTGACGGGCCTCGCAACGGTATCCGCGGGTCTCGTGCTCCCCAAGGTTCTCAGTCAAGAGTTCGTCGCGGTATAAGGAGCGGGGCCGGGACCCGTCAAGCCGCGCGTGTCAGCGAGGCAAACCGTACACGCCTGGGGTTAGGCTCAAACCAATCGTGAACATTGTATAAAGTGGCAATGAGCGGTTAGGCTATCTCGGGTCAAGTGTCACAAGTTATAAAATCGCGCGCGGCGGTGGCGCCATCGCACGCCGCTCGAACGTTTGGCGCGCCGCGGGCGACCGGCCGATTTTGGCAATTACCGCTGGGGAAGGTGATTTTATAAAACATATGTTACAGTTTGTTTGTTTGGTTTTTTTTTTTCCCCCATGGAAAATTAACACGGACGCGATCAATTCGCGAGCTTCGTACAAAACACTGCTGGTGGTAACCAAAACCAACGGCGAAACTTCAGCAGCCGGCGACGAACCGTGCCGCCCGGCAAATCGCTGGCGAGACCGAGAGGAGATCCCGGCGTAGCCGCGGCGCGGCGCGGAGGAGACGGCGCCGGTGCCGGTGAGGGTTTCGGTGAGGGCGGGCGTTACCGATTCCCCACTCGTCCGACCAGCGCCTCCTCCTCATGTCCCCCGGCACTGCGGTGAACGCGGGGTCTGTGCACGGTCACACACGCGGCAACACAGGCAAAGATCCCCCATGTAGCGCTAACAGACTGTCGGGGCAAGTGCTGTTGGCGAGTACCAGCGCCTCTGAAGGTCGGCACGGCACACGAGGGGGTGGGCGGCCCGCAACACACGCGGCCACCTTCATGTCTCCCGAGTGGCGATTGTTTACACAACGCACCAGGTACTCATTTGAGGCCGAGTCGACTTAGGGGAGGCACAGGACCAGTTCAGATATTGTCAATGGTGTTGGCTGTGAGCAGGAATCGCACTCAGGTTTCCGGGGTCGTAGCGCAGTATGCCAACCACTCCACGACCGCTCCCCGTAAAAGCACACACACACACACACACGTGGCAACGCACACACACGTACACGGGTACACGAGTTGACACGTGCGAACAAAAGGCAAAGATCCCCCGTGTGGCCTACACAGGCTCCTGGGGAAACTGCTCTTCACGATCAACTATGCAGGCCGCTTTGGGGCACTTGGGGGTGGGTGTTGCCAGAACCACGCACGGCCACCTTTGTCTCCCCAATGGTGATGTCTGATACATGCCGCACAAGGCACCCGTTGTTCAAGGCTGATGACAATGAATTGTGATGATGCCAACAACAACGACAATGTGGACCAAGATGATGATTGTTATGATGACAACTACGATGATAATAATTACGATGATGACGATAATAACGACATCTAAAATGACGATCATCGTGAGGACGATGATGACTGCCACGCAAATCCCATAGACACATGGCCACACGTACACATACGTATGGACACGCGGACGAATGGATATGGACACGAACACAAAGATCCCCCGTATAGCCTTAACAGACTGTAGGGGCAAGTGCTGTTAACGAGCACCTATGAAGGCCGGAACGGTACACGAGGGGGTGGGTGGCCAGCACCACGCCCGACCGCCTTTGTCTCCCTAGTGGCAATGTTGACACCGCACCAGGTACTCTTTTGAGGCTGAGTCGACCTAGGGGATGCCCAGGACCGGTTCAGATAATCGTCACTGGTGTTGGCCGTGAGCGGGAATCGAACCCGGGTCGCCAGGTTCATAGCGCAGCGCGCTAACCGCTACACTACCGCTCCTCACAGACACAAGGACACAGCAACGGACGTACAAAGACAATAACCGCCGCTACCACGACCTCTGCCACCACCGCCAATGCCACCACCATAACAGGAGAGGAAGGCTGCCTTGTGCCGAGCCCCGAGTCAAAGTGCCCGCTGTGTAAACACGAAGCGTGCAATCTGAGCATCGCGGTTCAACGTGCGTCAAGCAGTCCACCCGCCATTAAACCATCCTCCCAAATGCAGCGACTTCAAGGACTCAGCCCGGCCACCAGTGCCTAATCACGCACGGACCTACAGACTCACAGAGACCCCCTAAACTCGCGCAAAGACCCATAGGCTCACGCAGTTGCTCGTAGGGACCATCAACAAACGACGCTTGACGCCCCGGTGCAATCGCCGTGGCTGTGCGACTGGGGGCGCCACGGTGGCTATGAGATGTTAACAACCTCACCTGGTATGCAGGAGGTCGTGGGTTCGATCCCGACCCTGACACCTGTTGTATATTTGGAGCTTGCGTGTCGCTCTGTGCCCGTGCGCGAGATGTTAACTACCTCGCCTGTTATACAGGAGTCCGTGGGTTCGATCCCTACCCTGCATGTTCTCCATCTCCCAGTAGTCATGTGGATTTTTCTCCCGGTCCTCCGATTTACCCCTCCACATTTAGAATCAACGTGCGTTTAGAGCACTCGGCTGCTTTACATTTCAACATAAGCCACTTCGTTGAGCTCTCATTTGTGGCCAGGTCGCTTCTGAAAAAGAACTAGACAGCTCAGTGGGCCATACCTGTTAAAAATAAAATAAAAAATCATTAGAACCTGGATCGGAAGCCGGGATCTCATGCAGGCTCAGCGCCTCCGACCTCCGGGCCACCCAGGCACCAACGCTGCTGCGCTGGCAATTAAAAAATCGCCGCGCTCAACGCAAGCAACACGAACAATGCCATGCCCCCTCTCCCCGCCCCCAATTATAGCGGCGAGAGGGAGACAGAGGGAGAGTGGGTGACGCTAAATGAGATGTAACAGCTACGCACACACGGGGTATTCACTGGGGAGCGTGAGAGACGAGCGTGGATTCACCATCCCCCCACCCCCCTCCCCCCCCAACGACCCCCCCCCCCCCGCCTCACGATCCTCGTTCCTCCGCCAATAAGCAGAAGGAAGCACAGGGCCCAAAGGCCCAACACGTCAAGCAGCCAGCAACAAACAGCACGACCAAAGTTGTGGATTTCAGAGTTAGTACGCTTCTTGAATTGAACCGGGCAAGTTTATTATTATGTATGGAGAGCTTCTTTTACACCGTACGTAGCCGACCGTGCTAATCGGAGGTGCGGGGGACAAGGACGACAAACTAAACACAAAAAGCCGTTTCAAAGAAATGAGTTTGTCATTCTAGATGACGATGTTAAAAGCGCCATAGCTCCAGTGGTGTCCTAATATCGGAGGGAAGAACGTTCCAGGCGGCCGCAGAAGCGCATCCGAAAGCGCCGCGCGATGCAGTGACCGTCTTGTTATCATGAGAGGTTGGGGAAGAGGCAGAGAGAGGACGAAACCCCCGTGGTGAGTGGGTGGGTGGGTGAGTGAGTGAGTTGTTTGTGACATGCAGTGCCGGTGGTTGACCCCCGCGTGGATGAGACGAAACAGCCAGTGTCTGGGCAGGGCGAGTTCTCAACACGGGTTGAGAGGGATCTACGAGTAATAGTTCACAGGAACAACGGTAACCACGGCAGTAGCAAGAGAAGAGTGATAAGTAAGCGGCTGACCACGGGGCCGTGACAAAGCCTAGGGGTGTCGCAGTTCACCGCTTGGTGCGGAGGTTCGCGAGGGGTTGAATCCGATAGTCGTCGGCCATGCTTATTACTGCGGTGTGTACTAACTACATTTGTACGCGCCACGTGCTTCACCTAACAGTCGGCGGTAAAGATCCCCCTGACGCCGTTCGAAACAAGGAGGCGATTGTGTGCCAGCGCCACGATCCGAATTTGAAAAATGACGCGCCGCAAATGACTCAATTGGGATTCCACGGAGAAACATTGCCCTCGAATGGCAGATTAATGTCGGTGAAACAACGTGGTGCCTTCCTCCGTGACAGCCTCGCAACGCCACAAAAAGGAAAGCGCCGATGTGTGTGTTTTTTTTTACAAAACTGGTGTTGTTATTACGAATATTATAGCCTCGTGTGTTATTGTCATTGATGGGTCTTTTTCGGTTCAACGTAATCCGGGAAGGAAGAGTGTGGTGGAAACAAAGCAGATCTGGGCAGAAACCGGATCCCCATGGGACATCACGCTGCGGTGTGCGTGTACACAGCAAGTACAAAAACAAAGATCCCCCGTATAGCCTCAACAGACTTTATTGTGGGGGCAAGTGCTGTTAGCGAGCACCTATGAGGGCCGGCACGGCACACGAGCGGGTGTGTGGCCAACACCACGCCCGGCCGCCTTTGTCTCCCTAGTGGCGATGTTTACACATCGTACCAGGTACTCATTTGAGGCTGAGTCGACCTATGGGAGGCCCAGGACCGGTTCAGATAATCGTCACTGGTGTTGGCCGTGAGCGGGAATTGAACCTCGGGTCGCCAGATTCGTAGCTCAGTGTGCAAACCGCTACACTACCGCTCCCCACACAGCAAGTACAACACACACACAGACAGACAGACAAAACATCCCTCGTGTAGCCCACGCAGAATGTTAGGACAAGTGCTATAATGAGCACAACTGAAAGCCACCACCACCACTGCCATTACTATCACTGGCTCCACGACCCTCAATTCCACCACCAACGCCAACAACACCACCACCACCGCCCCCCCTACGACATGCCAATGTGTCTACAGTCCTCCACAGGCGCGTGTAAATTTAATCAAGCACAGGGTGAGATCACCGTGACTCGCTAATGAATCCACACCCCCCCGCGGGACTGCTTTGCGAAACCCGTCGCGCTCACGGGTACCGGGATTTGCGCGTCGCCTTGATCTTTACCACAATTTCCTCCCCAAACAAAAAAAAATATAGACAAAGATCCACCCCCATATAAACCTCCTTCACCCGCTCACTCACCCGCTCACTCATTCCATAATTCCCTCACCCATCCTCTCACACACCCACTCGCTCATTCACTCATCTCTCACTCATCCAGTCACTTACTCATCCACCCACTCACTCATCACTCACTTAGCTAGTCACTCACTCAGCTATCAACTCAATTCACCCATCCTCTCACTCACTCAAAGACAAAGATCCCCCGTATAGCCTTAACATACTGTTAGGGCAAGTGCTCTTAGCGAGTAGCACCTATGAAGGCCGGCACGGCACAAGATGGGGTGGGTGACCAGCACCGTGATTGACCGCTTTTGTCTCCCCGAATGGAAATGTTTACACGTCATAAAAAACAATACCGCACACACTCACTCACTCAAAATGCGTTCCATAATAGGGTGGCCACCTCTCTGGGTTTGAAGTCCGGGAATTGTCCACTGCTTTCGGGCGGCAGGAATTGATTTGTGCCGAGATCCGGTACCAGTGTTGTGTTGAAAGTTATTACGGAGTCCTCTGCAGTGCTGTGCTGACCAAATAGACCAAGGCGGATTGAGAAACACCGTCTGGTTTGGATTTGTATGGAGGAAAGGTGGCGAACCCGATTGCGTTATCATCATCATCATCATCCCCTCCCTGATCTTTACAATATGTCCACAAAATAAAACTCTCACTACCACACCAACAGGGCTTTAGCAAAGACGAACGTCAAAGGTTAACTCACTGTGTGAAGGTCAGGCAACCAAATGCCTCATGCAACCAGGCCACAGACTGGATGGGTGTATAGACGAGGAGTGAACAAGCCTCTGTGTGTGTGTGTTAGTGTTTTGTTACTGGGCAGTTGGGAGGCAGTCGCCCTCCAACAACAGCGG